AAAATTAGTCACCCACTCTTAATCCTACAGCCCTTAATCCTAGCACTGTACCATGAATCAATCACACACCCTAGTCCAGCTATATCTGAAAAAGCCCCACCTATTACTGCCTGAGGCTTTGGGGGAACATCTAGACACAAGCAATAACACTTTCCTAAAAACTAACATGCACTAAATGACCCACAGCTACTGAATCTAACAAAAATAACCCTAAAATTTTCCAAATGTCTCCCGGAATCCACAATTGAGAATCATTGACATTTATATGTAAACTTATCCAGAGTTAACCCTTCGAAGGTGCTGATAATTTAATATTTGATCACATATACTTTAAAAAGGAAATGAAGCTATTTATTTGGTTTCATGTGCAAGGAAAGAACACCGTGGAGTGAACGCCCTTTCTTCTATTTCTCCTCTCAGCACTCAAGGTAGAATGTTTTTGGCTGAAACAGATGTGGAGTAAAGGACCATGCTCAGAGTGCAACATGACACTTCTGTACTTCCGTTTTTATTTAGTTGCTTTGTTCTCTGGAGGAAATAATAGGAATCAAGTCATAACATCATCTCAGAAAGCAGCCCCAACTATATATTCTGAGCCTATGAGAATGAGCCTTGTGAGCAAGGGGGCTCTCCAAACTTCTCACAGATCCTGCTGTGCTGTCTCTCTCTCTCTCTCTCTCTCTCTCTCTCTCTCTCTCTCTCTCTCTCTCAGGCTAACTCCTCCCTGGCACATAGCCCCAAGGCCGTACATCAGATATTAGCTGCCCACATGAGGTCTTTTCAGCGAATGGGGCTTCATTATTGTTATTAAAGCAATTGACTTAATGGTTGGTAACATTTAGTAATTAGTATTATTTAGAATTTTTTTTTTTGGTATCAGAAATCAAACTCAGGACCTTGCACTTGCCAGGCAGGCACTTGTGCCACTGAGCTATATGCCCAGCAATTTAGAAATTAAAACTTTCTTGAAAACAAGGTATGGCAATCTGAACAAATGTATTTCTGATTCATGTATTTTTAAAAACATTTCTAGGCAAAAGCATTTTCAATATTTGTATTTGTGGCATTTGTAAGTGAGATCATCACGATAATCATAGTGATATAAAATATGGCAGCATATGGTCCTATGAGGATTTATTTTTATCTTGCATCAATCACTAATTCATGTGACTATATCAATGTGTTTTTCCACCCAGCTGTCATAAGCAACTTTGTCAAATGTCAGAATAAGATCCACATGAGCCTGGCTTACATTCTTCTAATGTAGCTTATATATTAGCTTTTTCTAAGAAAAATAACAAAAGTTTTCTCCTAAAAGCTTAAAGCTCTTTCAAATTTAAAGGCACACAGGAAGCAACAACAAAACCTGAGCCGGGTACTGTACAGCTTTCATACATGCTCTTGGAAAAGTGTTTATACATGTATCACTAAATAACAGAGTTATGTTTGGAGAGACCCATCACTGGGTGATTGTGTTGTCAAAGCATCTTAGAATACTTTACATAAGGCTAAAAAAGGTGTAAATACCCTTCTACATGCTTAGCCTACCCAGCCTACACATATGTGGCAAACCTATTGCTCTTAGAGCCACAGTGAACAAAGCAACATGAGATGAAATTAACCTCAAGAAACCAGGCATGGTTGTGCGCAGCTATAATCCCAGCACTCAGGAGGGTGGGACAGGTCAGCCTGGGCTACAGAGTGAGTTCAGTGCTGGGTGAACTACATTGCAAGACCCTATCTCAAAAAAGCTAAAACAAAGCAAAAAGAACAGAACAGAACCATAAATAAATAAACTCAAAAGAAAGTGATACAATCAAGAGACCAGGAAACATGAGATATGAGGCTACTGCTGGCAGAGCATGGTGTATTATTAGAGGGAAAATATTTGTTAAGTAGGTAGAAAGAGAGTACTCTAGAAAGTGATAAGGGTGGAAGAGCAACTGAACATAAATTCTTAGCATCAAACTGACATGCCCGAGGTGTTCACACTACACTAAACATTATTCTAAAATAATGGTAAGAGCTGGGGATTTAGCTCAGCAGCACAGTGCCTGCCTGGCAAGTGTGAGACCCTGGGTGAGATTCCCAGTTCCAAAAAGATAAAATAAAATAGTGATAAGATGTATAGTATAATCTAGGAGTGATAGCACACACCTGTATTCCCAATAATCTTTGAAGCCAAGATAGGTGGATCATAAATTTGGGCCAAGCCCGAGCAATTTAGAAACTTAGTGACAACCTGTTGCAAAAAAATAAACAATCAAACAAAACAAAACGAAACAAAAAACCATAGTGCTGGGAAAGTAGTTCGGTGTAAAGGCCCTAGGTTCAATTCTCTAGTAATTAAAACACATACATGTGCACAGACACACACAGACACACACAAACACACACACATATAAGATGTTGCACTAATTGTTAGGCATTTTTAAGCTCCATTGTAATCTACAGGACCACCACTGTAAATGTGCTCCAGCGTTGACCAAAACATTGTTATGTAGCAAATAATTTTTACTCTTTATTTTTATCTCTACAGGAGGTAGCACAAGGCAGTGGATAAAGATGTGGATTTGGAGTCAAGAGAAAGTAGTCCTTGGCTTTGCCTCTTATCAATAGTTGACCTTGGGATGGGGCTGGGGATTCAGCTGAGCAGCACAGCGCCTGCCTGGCAAGCACGAGGTTGTGAGTTCTATTCCCAGTACCGGGAAAAAACAAAAACAAAAACAATAGTTGACCTTGGGAAAGCCATTTAACTCTCATCTCTAAATTACTAAGAATATTGCTTTCCATACAGACCTCATGGCACATGTCTGTAATCCCAGTACTCAGGAGGCTGAGGCAGGAGAATGGCAAGTTTGAGGCCAGTTTATGCTTCATGTATAGTTCAAGGCCAGCCTGGACAACAGAAAGATCCTGTCTCACAAACACAAAACTCCCAGGGAAAAGAAAGAGTAATGATGCTTTTCTTCTTGGAATCTAAGTAGGAAAATCAAATGCTCTTTAATTGTCTGCAACCCAAGGAATTTAATGCAAAGTATTATTTATTCAGGTGATGGAGTTCTAAGAATCAAAAGGGAATGGTGAGGCACAGTAGAGATTTCATGAGCAGAAAGCCACCCCACTCCTCAGTGGGAGCAGAGCAGGAAAGAGGTAGAGCTCAAGGCTGCTGGGAACAGGTCTGTCTGTTGGGAGAGAAAGCCCCAGAGAAGCAACCACTTGCAGCTGGCTATAGAGACCCCCTTCCTACCAGTGCTTTCCACTGGCCAAACCAAGCTGGGAGCCCACAAGCAAGGGGACATGGACAGGGTCTTCGGGGCAGGGATCTGGCAATACAGAGCAGAGCAAAGCCATGAGAAACAAGTCTGAGGGCAAAAATACCTTTCTAGGGTTGCTGTGAGTATTAATAGAAAGTGGAAAATATAGAGGAGAGTAAAGGGTAGAGCTCTGTAAAACATGCTCAGGTCCTGACTTATTCGATGCACTTTGTGGAAAGCATCAGGGACGCCTCTCTCTCCTCTGATGTCCCATGACACTGTACCTTTACTTCTTATCCTGATTATGTTCTGCCCAGCTCTTCTGATTTTTAAGCACATAGCATATCTTTCCTACAAGATTTTGATCTCTGAGTCCAAGTTCATGTCTGATTCATCTTCACAAACATCACTGTACTTTTCCTGTAGTGGGTATTTGGTAAGTATTGCGGGGAGGAGGGAAAGGAAAGGATCAAATAAAGGAGTGAAAGGAAGAGAGAAAAAGTGAGGGAGGGAGAGGGTGGAATGAAACAGCGCAGCCTGCAAATTAGACCAACTTAGTAACATAAAGCTGAGCCCTCCATCGGGCAGTAATGGCATTGGGAGAGCAAGTTCTTTGTCATGGGGCGCCGGTTCTAGTGTTACAGGGAGCTTAGCGAACCTGAGCCCTCCCTGTTCGGGGCCATGTGTTTCCTCTAGTCACAGCCTTACAGCCACATCTCACACTGACTTAGGAGGTGGCTGAGGAGGAGGATGCACAGCCATCCCCATCAAGCCTGGCTTCAGGACGAGCTCAGGCATCCTTTCTCCAACCGTGATACATGCCTTTTATGTTGTATTCGATTTTATGCTGCAACTGCCCACCATCATGTCTATTTAGAGAGAGAATGGCTAAATAAACTATGAATGCTCTCAGCCTTCATTGTCTACATGTAATGCAAGAGGCATAAAGTGATCCAAAAGAAATTAGAGGAGATGAACACTGTCATAAGGAAACCATTTGGCACAGAAACAATCTAATTCCTTTGCCCTGCAGAGACTGGGACATTCATTCATTCAATCAGCAAACTTATTGCTGAATTACTGTATGCCAGGCATTGTGTTAGCTGCTGGGTAATGGAGATAAATAGGACACAGTCCCCATTTGCATGGTTTGTGATCTAATGATGGAGTTTGAGAAGTGACTGTTAGAACATGCTACCTCAAAATAGTTTAAGGTGAAGCAGTTTAAGACAACTGCAGAAGCAGGAAAGCACTGTCACCTCCCCCACCCTTCTTCCCGGACGCAGGTGACCAAACCTTGGAATGACTTCCTCTGAAGCCAGCCATAAGAATATGGCGAGAGGTGCCGTCCCTCTCTTGGAGGAAGAAACATCCTTATCTTTGAAAAGAAGGGGACACAAAGGAGAATTTGGACAAATAAGTCCTGCTAAATTTCCCCTTGTTTATTACAAGGTCACACTCTGCCCTCTTTCTCCACAACTCTACTTTTCACCCAGTGTACTATAAAAGCACACTCAGGTTTAACCATTTCACTGAGTCTTCATTTCTTTATGAAATTTCCTGCCTCATATAAAACTTACATTAAATATGTATGTTTTCCTTTTGTTAATCTATCTTCTGTTATTGAGCCCTCGGCTTTGAACTTAAGATAGAGAGAGGAGCAGACAGTTCTCCTCCTCTATAGGACAGTGACGCCCAGCATGTTAGAACTTAGGAGGGTGGCAGCGCGCCTTGGGATCTTACCTGAGACCCAAAGTTATAACCATAGGTTCGATTCAAGCTTCTGAACTGTGTGGGTCCCACAGGCAAGCACACAGCTGCTGCTAAAACACAATCTACTTCGTGACTCGACACGATGCCCTCATCTTCCTCACCAGGGCAGCTGGTACATCAGCCTCTATGTTCTCAATCATGCCATTGTGACTGCTGCTTTCCAAAACGAAGCATCACATGGATATAGAGACACACTTGCAGGAAATACTTGTGGTCTCTCCCAGTGAAAGACATGTCAGGGTCAGCTCTTCCACGGAATGCCTTCGCTTGTGTCACTCCACCCCGCCCCCCTTTCGCTAAGAAATAAAGATTCCAGGAAGGTGACACAACCCTATAGAGATGTATAAAATGCACACTGTGAATTAGTCTTCAAAGATGAAAAGGCTGTGTGCTTAGAAGTACTTAGATCCCTGTTCAACTTTCAGATTTCTGCTGCTTGCGCTGTGGATGCTGAGTGATTCATCAGGGCCTCGCTTTTGCTCGGGCTCCAGACATGCTGAGAAATGACCCAGTAATCCCAGAGGAAGATGAGCCCATCCGTTCTCTGCATTTTCAGAAACCCAATGTGTGTATCCACTAAAGAGAGTAAAACTGTAACGCCTTGTCCTGGTGGCTCTTTGTGTCAGGGGTTTCTAGCCCAGACATGGGATCAATAGTCCCTGCATCAGTGACTTTGTCTGTAGACTGACACTGGGCCTTGTCTCTCGGGAGCTTTACATGAGCATCACAGAGCCACACAAAGCAGGGAGCTGCGTGTGTGTGTGTGTGTGTGTGTGTGTGTGTTTCTGTTTGCACGTACGCACGTGCTGTGTCCTGTTATATATCAGTCCTGTGGTGTGAGGCTCTTATTTGCCAATCCTCCAGTTGCAAACAGAAAAAGAAATTAATTCAAATAAGACAATAAGGTTGTTTTTTTTTTTCAGTGCTGAGGATGGAACCCAGGATCTGGCCCATGCTGAGCAAGTGTTCTACCTTGGAGCTAAAGCCCCTGCTCTGAGACAATAAGGAGTTTGAAAGTGTTCGTAAACTGTAAAATACAGGCTAATGACCAGTGTTACCTGCCATTTTATTATTAGTAACCATTAAAATCTTTGATTGTTGAATTGGTTGTCACCATCTATATACAGCTAAAAAGCTACAGGTTGAATTTCTCCTAGGATTAGAGCTGTCTTTAGGAAAATACCGTACTTAGAATCTTTGGTGTAGAAAGTAAGGTCCCAAGAACTTTGCCCTAAAGATACAGAGAAAAGGCAAATACAAGGTGAGAAGCAATCATCAAGGAGAGATGGGGAAGAGGCCAGGAGGCTGGGGACTGTGGAATCCAAAGCCCTTTCAGAACTGGACATCCTAAGTTTAAATCTCCACTGTGTCATGCTTCATTATAAATTCCCCTTGGTGCCCTAAAACTTCAGGAAGGATATTCTACTTTACAGGTAAGAGTTATGTAGGATACTAGAGAGTGGGGGATGTCATTAAATGTGGGATGGCATTGCAAAAAAGAATCAGAATGCATGAAGTAACAAAGAGTCCTAGAACTGGCCTCTTCTTGCTGCCATAGAAATTGAGAGCCAGCAGAGACTGGAAGAGTAAAGTCATCTTGCAGTTCCTTTCCTCCTCATGGGGAAGAGATAATGGTAACATTACAGGCTCACCACTGTTTTTAATGCTTTATTTGTTCATTGAATCATCACTCAAGATTTGCAAGGTGCTATCACACTCATTTTACAGACAAAGAAACAGAGAAGTTAAATCATCTGTACAAGATCACACAGTAAAAACATTATTTAGATATGAGATCTGGGCAGAGGAACTCTCGAGCCTATAGCAGTGGTGGCAAACCTCTGGCACACATGGCACAGTGGGCTGTTGTACCATGGAAAGCTCTAAAGGATTCACCATCAGTAGCCTGTAGTTTGATATACTGTGCTCTAGAAGCACATGCATTCATTAGCCAAAAGGATCCCAGCTGATATCTGAGTTACGAGAACCTTGCAATGAACAACTTTCAAACTAATGGAGCAGGCAGAGTTGAGTTTTAATGGTAACATGGGTCCACTGGACATCAGGTCAGTACTAACAAAACAGAAACCACTGAAGTGCATGGAGCTGAGTTCACTGCCACGGCCCCAGTGGGAAGGACACACATCATTCCCATCTCAAGGGGCCAGACCAATACTGCCAGACTGTGGGGTCAGAGAAGACACCAGCCAGATCCAGAAAGTTCCTGGGCAAGCCAGTTCAAGTTTAGTGTATCTGCCAAGGTCTGGATGAGGTCTCCTTGTCCTGTCTTGAAATAATGGACTTCAGAAATCTAAGAAGGACAGTATGGGTCTCTAGGAGTCTGGGGCAGGCACCAACAGGGATGCAAGTAAGAAACTGTTTCAAAGTGACGTATCAGTGTCAGGTTGGCAAGAATGCTGAGAGCAGCCCTGGGAGATGCAGAGGCACAAGCTCTTCTTTGCATCCACATCCCCAGCCACTGGCAAAGGGAAGCTGAGGCAACTGAAATGGCTCAGCCCAGAGATGGTGACAATGATTACAGGATTGCCATCCTTCCAGGTACTCAGAGGAGCTTTCTGGTGCAGGCCACAGCCGACCATCGGGTAGGCAGCTTCCAGAGTAAAAGTCTTCCAGAAATAAGAGGAAAGCTTTTAAAAACCCATTTAAGAATCCCAAGATTAACAAAATTAGGAAAAAAAAATTATAGTGAGAGAAGAATAATGGTGCAGGCAGAAAGGAGGATCACTGGCTCTGCAGAGGTGTGGTTTCAGGAGCACAAGGAAGCGCAATGCTCTGAAATACCCACCAGCCCCCTCGCTGGAGCTGACCTCACTCAGTCAGTCATGCCTCTCCCCCACGTCCCTCATTCTAGCAGAGATTTCCAGAGCATATCAGCCCCACAGCCTGAACTTGTCATTCATCTCACTATTTCCACAGAAATAATCAGAGTGCCTGGGAGGGAGGGTCTTGTGATTATTCATTATCGGGAAAAGAAAGGGATGGTGAGGTACATTTTAGGTAACTCTCTTTTCCCACCCTGCCAGGACTTCACATCATGGGGAACAGTCCAACGCCATCAAATGAGCAATAGAAACTAATACGGAGTTAATGAAACGAGGCCTTGGATTGGCAGCACTTTGTTTTAAAGACTCTGAGCTCTGGCAGCATAATTTATTCATAACCTCCTACTCCCCAGGAAGAAGAAACAGATGGCTTATCTATTTGCAAGTTAGAGGTTGAAGGACAAAGATCAATGGGCAGGATCCCACAGTAAACACTGCTGTCTGGCTACATTCCAAGTTCCCCTCCTCTTCTGTCCTTCTCCCTCTACAAAGATGAAAATCCTAGAGCCTCATCTTCCTTACAACGAATGCAAAGTAACAGAACCACGTTCATAAGCCTCTGGAGAGGCTTTATCCTCCCTTATCAAAGGAAGGAAGAAATTCCTCTTATGTGATGTTCCTTTCTTTCTTTGCTCATCACTGGATGAGATGGTGTCTGGAGCTACAGCAGCCGCCTGGTAACCATGAAGAGAAGGTGAAAAACTGACAGAGATGACAACCTGGTACCCTGGTGTCATGTAAATTCTAAACTTCTCCTGAAATCATCTGCCCCTAGATTTCTTGTTGAGTAAATTAAAACATTTTTATAATGTAAGTCTACGTAACTGTAGCTAAGTACATTCTTTTAAATTTAGTTGTAGTCAATACAGCAACACAGATAGTAAAGAAAATAGTGGCTGAGTCAGGGTGGCAGGGCAGAGGGCAGTGAGGCTACTGCGATCACAGCTTGGGTGTGACTAACATTTGCTAGATGGTGGCAAGACATTGGTCCCAGACTCTTGCTCTCGTGCCTTGAGACCCAAGTCCCATATCTTCTGTGGCTGTAGGGTAGAGAGAAGTGGCAGGGGACATTTAGAGTGCTGAGCTTTGGGCAAGGTGCTATAAGAAAAGATCTGTCAGATGGAGGGAAGAGAAGGATTTTCTAAAATGTTTTCTAAGGTCTGAGAGTTCCAAAATGTATAGACTTGCGGGCTTCAGAAGTAAGATAGCATAGCACTACCGTTTGTGTCTAGGTCGCCCCCTTACAGCCTCATGCACTTAGAGGCTGGGGTTTTGGAAGGTGACTGGATCACAGGGTTGTTATGATTCCTATCTAGATGTCTCCCTAAAGCCTCATGCTTAGAGATGGGGCTTTCTGGAGGTGGCTAGGGTGTGTGAATATGGACTACGGGTGTGTGATAACTAAATTAGGTTACTGGTTGGTTTAGAAAGATTCTGAGTGTGAGTAATGGGAACCCGCCCTGAGTGTGGGTGGCGCCATCCAATAGGCTTGTAGCCTGGATGGGGTAAAAGAGAAAGAAAAGCTCACTGCCTGCTGCTCCTTGCTTTCCCTGCCATGGCCTGCCTCTCCTCTGCTGTGCCCTCTGCCAGGCCACCCTGCCTTGGAGCCAGCCGACTATGAAACGAAACCTCTGCAAACTGTGAGCTGAAATAAACCTTTCCTCCTTTGACTTGTGGGTATTAAGTATTTTGTTCCAGCAGTGAGTAATGAGGAGGGGTGTGCAGTCATGGGCGGGTTAGTGCACTGATGAGTTTATAGCTAAGTGTACTGTTAGAGGAGGATCCTGGCAGGAAGGGCAGCTTCACCAGGCTGGGAGTGTCTGGAAGGGTTTATCTCCCCCGACTCCACCGATCTTCACCGTATTCTCTGCTTCTTGGTTTTCATGAAGAGAGCAGTGTTCTTCTGCCCAGGCCCTTCTACCATGACTTATTGCTTTGGAGCTGGTCAACTGTACACTAAAAACAGAAGCCAAAGTAAACCTTTTCTCCTTTATTCCACATGTCAAGTATTGTGTTCCAGCAATGAGGAAAAGTGACTAAGACAGGTGGACATAACAAGAGATAAGACTGACTCATCTAGGAGCCAAGCTCTCAGACTCCTCCTGTTCAGCATTCTTTGCCAGGCAAAGTGGAAAAGCACCTGAGCTCTCATCTGCTGTCTCGTTCTGAGTTTGTCTCAGGACAGCTGCCGGCCCAGATCCTTGGCCATGGCAGTCACAGAGGTGCTCCATGCAGATCTCCCTTCAAGAAAGAATTTGCAAAGAGAACAAATCACTCAGC